GCGATGAGCATATGAGCAAATGCTCATAACTGCTCATGAGCACATGCTCATCTGCTCTTCCTGCACGAGCGTATGAGCACATGCTCATAACTGCTCATGAGCACCTGCTCATCTGCTCATAAGGCCCGTTTTGGCCGGAAGACTGGGTGTACATTTTTCGTGGAAGCCGCTGCAAAGTTTATGTACACAAATGTATACATTTTCGTATTCGCATGTTTTTGCCATTTTGATTTGTACCCGGTCGACCCATGTAAAAATGACAAGAAAAGACAAGTAATTAAAAAAGCAATTTATTGAATGACTCGACGTTACATGCCGTGTCTATACTGGTATGTTTTTAACATGCTAATATTACTGTTCGAATGCATGACTTCAATCGTATACTCGAATCTAATCATCATCATCATTCTCCTCATCAAATTTGTAACCCTTTAAAAGCCTTTTTATAAGAAACTTTCTCATATCAACAGCTGCTTCTAACGCTTCTTCTGGATCAAAATCATCGTTTTCCACAAGCGCATTTTTTGTGTGCATAATCTTCTTATGAACTGAATCTTTCTTTAGTTGTTTCATCCACAAGAGACGCTCCATATAAATATTTTCCAGTTCCTTCTGGAGTTTAGGCAGAATATTAGAGTAAGCTTTGTCCTTAGCGGATTGTTCATCTAGACCACTGCTTATAAGGCTTTCTTTCATTTCCTCAAATGCTATATTACTTCTTTGCTTTGCTTCTTCTATCAACGATATCCAAGGATCCATTTCCTCTTCAGTTTCTGACTCATTATCAGTCATCGTCGAAATTTCAGACACTTCAGTTGAAGTTGTCGAAACGTCGTCTTGAAAATCCCTTTCCTGGCTATCCAAGTCCGTTTGAGACATGTTTCTTTCTTGTGCACCTAGGGGACAGTATTCCTTTTCGTGTCTTCGTAGATTGTAACCACGATTAAATTGCTTTCCGCAAAATTGGCAGCTCATTCCGTTAGCACTGACTGTGCAGAAATGTCTTGCTATTGAGCAGTATTGCAGTTTTATGAGCAGATGAGCACGTGCTCATGAGCAGTTATGAGCACTGTGCTCATACGCACGGGACGCAGGGACGTTTCTACGGGACGCCCGGGACTTGCTTGCGGGACACTTTGAGAAGTGTCCCTATATAAATCGCATTGATTTTAAGAGCAAAATATTATTGCCAAAGCTACCGCGTTGGTTGACTGCATGCATAAATTAACCGACATGGATTAACGTTTTGTACACGCGATACAAGAAACGGCGGCATAGCCATAGTAGCCTGAAATAAAGTAAAACTGTAGATAAACAAACGGCAGCGAAGCGGCCAGAAATATAAAACTAAAAAAATTGTAGATAAACAAACGACAGCGAAGCAGCCAGAAATATAAAACTGCAGATAAACAAACGGCGACACAGTATAAGCCTGAAATATAAAACTAAAAACTGTAGATAAACAAACGGCGACACAGTATAACTATATAAAGCCTGAAATATAAAACTAAAACTGACTGTAGATAAACAAACGGCAGCGAAGTAACCAGAAATATAAACGAACTATAAACGGCAACGAATTAAGCAGCCAAAAATAAACTAAAAGCGATACTACAATTACAAACGGCATCGCAGTAGCTATATAAACTGTAGATATATATTAACAAACGGCGGCGATGTAGCCAGAAATAAAATTGCACTCTGTAGAAACAAACGGCAGCGAAGTAGCCAGAACTGATTCGAACTGATATCTAAAACCGCTGTAGATAAACGGCAACAAAGCAGCCAGAAATAAACCAAAAGCTATACTACAAACGGTCAAACGGTATCGTAGAATCTAGAAACATAAACTGTAGATATAAAAGAAACGGTGGTGAAGTAATCAGAAATATACACTCGCAGAAATATACACTGTGGTCCGGGAACAAAGCAGCTAAAATAAACTAAAACTAAAAGCGATACTACAATTGCAAACGACTAACGACAAGTCGACATCGCAGTACCAGTAGCTAGAAATATAAAACAAACGGTAGCGATGTAGCCAGAAATATAAATTGTAGCTAACGAAGCAGCCAGAAATAAAACAAAAGCTATGCTACAAACGGTCAAACGGCTTCATATTCTAGAAATATAAACTGCCGATAAAAGAAACGACAGCGATAGCCAGAAATATAAACTGTACTGTAGTCCGTAGTGCAGTCTGCAGATAAACGGCAGCGAAGCAGCCAGGAAACCAGAACGGCAAAAAGCCATATTACGAACTGTCAAACGACATCGTAGTGGCCAGAAATAAAAACTGCAGATAAACAAACGGTAGCGAAGTAGCCAGAAATATAAACTGTAGAATGTAGATAAACAAACGACAGCAGTTCAAAAATATCAAGTAAGCTCAAATAAATTAAAATGACATGAATAAATTAAAATATTTGAGAATCGATGACGTCATGGGCGGTGCTTCGTGCACCGCCTGCACCGCCTGCGCCAGAACCCCTCTTCCCTATACTACTCAGGTCCACTCTGCGCTTTGCTTCGACGCTCTTATTTACATCTATCATAATTCCACCACCAACTTTTCCTTTTCTGTCCTTTCTATATATAACATACTCAGGTATTTTGTAGTAAGAATCGGGAATGTTCTCATTGCTGAAGGTCTCGGTTAGAATCAGAACATCAAGCTGAAATGTATTCTCGTGTTTGGACCTAAGGCTAAGACCAATTCCCTCGAACTTTGAGTCCGTAAGCCGTTGGATATTCCAGTGACAAAAAGAGGGACCTTTCTCGTTTTTAATGGGACGTAGATTGAAAGGGCCTGGATTTATCGCAATGTCACCAGCAAGCAGAATACAAATAATGGTGTGAGAGTTTTTCCGATTTGTTTGCAGGTCCAAACCATAAGGATAGTTGGTCGACAAGTTTAGCTTTCTTAATTTGATATCTCGTGTATAAACCCAGATGCAACATTGTTGCTCAGGAAGGATTGCGAGATTTGAACTAATGTGGAAAATGTCTTTTGCTGGTTTTGGAGTGCTTTTGTTGGTTTTAACAAGTGGAAAGTTATTTGTAATATATAACCAGGAAATAACATAAACGAAAAGTAGCCGTCCGAACATAGTCGTAGTTTAACAGCGTTGTATATGAATCAGTTTCGTCTACGTTTGTCAAATTTAATCAACAAGGTCAAGGCATAAATTCTACAAATATAGACGTTGACAATACACGATCAATTTATGATCCGGTATAGAAGTATGCAAGATTGTCACAAGGACAAATACACCAGATTAGTTAACAGATGCGGTTTGTAAATGAGGGGAAATCCCTAAATTTGAGACCAGGATATATATCCACGCCACGTAGCAACCATGAGACTTTAGATGAATCACGAATATTGCGTCAATAAAAATATAACGTAAATTAAAATGTTGCTGTTATGAGATAAACACAAATCCAAAAGATAAAGATCACTTTAAAGGCCCAAAACCGAGATACAACGCCGTAAAGTTGTTGCTATGGAAGACGACGCCAGACAAAATTTGAATTTAAAGTTCCAACGGTCAAAATGTTAAGAATACAATAAATCACGCACAGTACATCCAAATGATATAAAATTTACTCATGAGAACAGGAACACAATTTATAGTTCACTTACAAAGTTTCAAGCGAATAGCAGCACGACGACGGAGATATTTTATGCATAAACCAAGATTTCCAAGATTTCCGGTTTGTAGCAAAATGACACTGCAAATTGATACTTGATAATCCAACGCAACTCCTTTCAATGAATTTACACCAATTTAAAAATACAATAACTAGACGAACCAAATCTTTAGCTTAAATTAGACGTATAGATCAGCAATGTAAATTGAGAAATTACTTGTTTATTGCCGGAATAAAACGGAGGTCAGTACAGATGAACAGTCGCGAAAAGTTTGAAAAAATTTTGTTATTTTGACATAATAGCTATTTTTAAATAAATACATTGATATTAAACTTATCGAATCAATATGTTAAATTTCAGGCCAGTTGTACCAAAATTTATAAGCGCTTGCAGACCATAAAGGCGGATTTCCACTCAGTGCAACAATGTCGCGCGATTGACATTTTGCGATCACTTTCTTCTGAAATACAAGCAATCAAACGCAACGGATCAGGTGGACTGAACGTGTTTCAAAAGAAAGTGATCACAAAAAGTTGATCTTGCGATATTTTGCACTGAATGGAAATCGGCCTGAAGGCTTTAGTCACAGAATAGATAGTAGACCAGAAGGGACACTCCTATGTGTTTTGGCTTGGGAAAAACGTCTGAAATTTTTTACGTACTATGACGCCATCCTGGAGTGCACACGGCACTTTGTACCTATGTTTGTACCCATGAAAAACTTCTGTGTGCACTCCAGGATGGCGTCATATGATTGGGTATTTTCACATCAGCACTCGTCGAGTGACACTTCTGGTCTATTCTTTGCTTTAGTTGTCTTATGAGTTATCACGATGAGATACAATTCACTACACTTTACATGGCGGATCTCGGAACACGGGCGGAGTCACTGGGCAAAGGATCTCGGGCGGAAAAGTGTGAAGGAAATTAAAGGCAACTAAAGCCTCTGCGGAGGAGAGAGGGCATGCAACATGTACGCACTGCGTACCTATTTTTATGAATTATGCGAATCTTGCCAACCATTTGTTATATTTCAAGAGTTGGAATAGTTCAATCACAATGACGGAACTACAGTATCGTTACTATACGAATAATGATGCTTGACTACAGCATTTCTCTTGCTAATGTCGTGGACTAGGTAGCGCTCATTTTAAGTCCGTTTTTCAAAAGACGAACTTGTTCGGAAAAAGTTTAGCAAAAATCAAATTTTGGCATCGTGATTGTTGGTAAGGGAATACAATTCGCCACAAAGTGGTTGGAAGTTGGAATTAATCTGAGATATTTCATTTCCCGGGCATTTTGTAAAAACAAACACTCGTGGGTTTTTCAAAGAATTTAAATCTGGAGTGTCGAAACGTTGGGTCTTGATTACAATTCGACTGGGCTTTGTAATCATATCCAAATTGCATTTTGTCATTTTGATAGGCAGACGTCCTGGTCAACACAACTGGTGAGAATCTTAACCTACATTCTAACCCGTGTAGCAAAGCTCTAAGTAATAAGGCGGGTCCGGCACTGCAAGTTGAATGTAGCAAGATTGGAAAACTTCAGGTTGGCCAGGTAGCTGTAACCAAGGGAGGAAATTTGCTTTGCGACGAGGTATACCATGTTGTCTGTGTTCCGTGGAATGATGATCAAGGAGAACAGGTATGTTCTAAAGTCTGTAAAGCGTTACATATCAAACTGCTTCTTCCGTAAATATAATTGTTGTGTAGTGAAATAATATCCATTGGGAGAGATGTAGACACTTGTTTGTGATACAATAACTCTAAATAGTTGATTTGGTATTTACCTCCATGTATTAGTTTTATGCTACTTCCGCTAATTTTAGACATCAACGTATGCTTAGAAATCGTATGATTAAATGTTAATAAATTTGACGCGTACGTTTTTCAAAATTTGCTGTTTAGATATTGCGAACCATTATCAGAAATTGCCTGAAAAACTGCAACTCAAATGGAAAGAAATCCATCGCTCTCCCAGCAATTGGAACAGGAACATTGGGTTTTCCACATGACGTTGCTGCGAAAATATTTTTTGAAGAAACGAAAAAATTTGGGCGAAGAGTTTCAAGCTGTGCCATAAAGGAAGTTAGTTTTGTCGTGTACAATCAAGATACCAAGTCAATTCAAGCTTTTAAGAATGAATTAAAGCAGCAAGAAGAGTGGGCTAGCACTGTATCTATTATGGGTGTTTCGGATGGGTCTCAAAAAAGGTGGAGAAGAAAACCAGCTAGTACTTCAAAAAAATCTGAAAGGAGTGTTATGTGTATTGAAGTCGGTGATAATAAAAAAGTCGAGATTGTGAAAGGTGACATTACAAAAGAAACAACAGATGTTATTGCCCACTTGACCAACCCTAGCCTGATTATGGGAAGTGGCGTGGCGACTGCTTTAGCCAGAGCAGGAGGGCAAGAAATAGAACGTGAATGCAAAAAAGAAACCAATTCTTCAAGACGTAGGGTTGCAACAACAGTCCTAACAAGCGCAGGGCAATTGGATGTCAAGTATATTGCCCACATGGTCGCTTCAAACGCTCCTAATTCCAGCGAAATCGAAAAATGCATCAGCGATTGTCTGAAAGTAGTAAGCGAAGAAGAATGTGAAAGTATTTCATTTCCAGCTGTTGGAACTGGTTCCTTGAAACATGACTCGGAAAAAGCTGCCACAACAATTTTCAAATCCGTCATACGCTTTCTGGAATCAAGTTCTGGACCACTCAAGATGATCCGTATCGTACTGAAGGACGATGACCTAGTGACAGCATTTCAAGCATCGGCTAAGAAACTTAATGAAGAAGGACAACCTGGAATGTTGAAACGGCTTGTGAATCTCTTCTGGAAATCTGACTCAACAACTATAACTGTGAAAGATAAACCATCTGCTATCACCAAGAACCTTTTCTTAGAAATTTACGCAAAAGATAATGCCACAATCAATCTTGCAAGGGAAGAAATTCTAAAGATTATTGAGTCTCAGAAGAAGAAGGAGAGATTAGAGGATGACAATATTGGGAAACTATCCAAGCATCAAATCACTGAAATAGAACACTTATGTGAAATGAACGATATTAAAGTTACCATTGAAAAAGATCTGAACCGTATTGTCGTAGTTGGACACAGTGAGGACATTTCCAAAACGTTTACAGAAATTTTTCAAATTTTGAAAAGAATTGGTGAGGCAGAAAAGGAAAAGGAGAAGGCTGCTCTGCATGCTGACTTAGCAGAGATAGTTTCTCAAGGAGTACAGTGGTTCTACGTAAATCCAAGTAATGGTGATCATGAAGAGTACGATAAGCGTACCAACGCCACTATTGAGAAAGCTTACAGCAAGAAGGAAAAATCTGTTATTTTCCTTTTAGAAGATACAAAATGTGAAATTGTATTCGCTATGATGCAAGAGACAAATTTGGATACAAAAGATACGTTAAAAGTAATCAGAAAGGATCTTAAAGGTATTTAAAATGTTATATTCCTCAACATGAAACTTATATTGGGTCATTCAAAAATTGATAAAGATCAGAAAGATAATTTGTGTTTTTTTTCTATTTATTCCTTCTCTCCTTTACATGTTTTTGTTATGGACGCCATCTTGGAAAAAGGTTTTCCCAATGTTCACAAACGTCCCTATTTATCCTAGCTTAATTATCTACTTAGAATAAATTAATATGCAATGCCTAATTACATAAATATATCAACATACATCAATCAGGGTCGGTTGTATGAGAGTTTAAAGTCCGTTTACACCTGCAATTTTTGCTTCGATTTCTGGTGCAATTTTTCGGGCTAACATGATGGCGACGTGAAATCGCCAGTGTAAACGATTTAACTGCAATTTCAGACTCAGTGCAACTTCACTGCGACAAGCTGCAAATATTTCAATCGTGATCGAAATTTATCGCAACTCGCTGCGATTTTTAAGAAGATGTGAACAAAATACGAATGTGCTACCTCTCAATGGCAGGTGTTGGCACGTTCAATAAGGATTAAAGGCATATATCAAAGCCTAGCAACATAAACTTCTCAATATCTTAAAAACCCTTCACTTTCATGCTGTTTCTAAAAGCAATATCTACTATATAAAGATCTATAAATGCAGTTAACTGAGAATAACATATGTGAATAAGGAAGTTACCTATTTACGATATGGTATCAAGAGAAAAAAACGCGATAACGTTAACAATATAAAATCGGAGTATTGTAGAATACTTTTACTGCCTTAACTTTGGTCTCTGTCTTGCTACTAACTTTAGAACAAAAACAGTTGTTTGTCTCACACAAATCAGTACCGATTAGCTCACGGCATTCCTTAGCAGAAATACTGCTAGTTTCTTGTATTCATAGTGCACTTTGATTTGCCGTTGCTTATCCTACATTATGATAGGTTTTGGGTAAGTTCATGGTAGTTTTCATGAACCGCGGTAATGAATTTGAATTGTGGGGGTTGATATGTGTTTTTAAAAGTCATTTATGAGCGGCGCTTTTGGAGGTTTAACAGTGAAATTGTTTGCCATACAGGGATACATAACAATCTCCAGAGCATAAGCTTCACCATTGCTTTCAATATTGAATTTTAGCTGAGGCGTCTGTTCGAGTTCCTGAATATTGGGAATTTCAACCACAGGATACAAATGGAAAAGAGTTAGCAGTACATCTTGTCCGCCTGTACCCAAACGATCCAAACCACAAAGATGAATACAAGAATATCAGCGATCATTTCCAACAAACAGCTTTTCAACAAATCTTACATATTCACCGAATCCAGAATCCATCATTGTTCAAGCAATATCTTATGAAGAAACAAAGTTTGGATGAAAAAAGTGGAAGTAATGAGAAATTCTTGTTTCACGGTACGCGAGGTGATAAATTGAGCGAAATTAATAAACATGGCTTGAACAGAAGTTATGCTGGAAACACTAATGGTAACGTATTACAAACCATTTTCACTTCGCATGCTGAAATGAAATCGCACATCACAATATACCATCTCGATAATTACGTCACAAATACTTCCTTACCTTGGGAGCCTCGCTGTCATGAATCAGGACGAAGGGTCGTTCTCCTGTAATTCATAAGAACGAGACTTCCGGGCCATGGAGGTATTTGTGACGTATTGTTGGGTGTATTATCGAAAGAGTGAATTAATTTATTTAATAAAATGTTATGAATTTCCGATTGTCTAACTTCCTCACTTAACGATATTTACCGGTGACCCCGTATGAATTACATGTGCCTAACACCTCGGGCAGAGTCCTACGAGGCTATTTTTTCTTTTCTCGCTAATATATTCGCTATAGTATATAAAGTAGCACAAGTCCTTCCCTAATGCTGGAAATATTTTTTTCCGAAAGATGCCTGTTTTTAGTCTTGAGCATTAGATTAGATTAGATTCGTTTATTCAAATAAAACACTTTGCAGTCGTAGACTGAATTATGCGAAAATTTACAACAATTGAGTTTTATACATTATTACAACAATTTTGAATAATTAAAAATAAGAGTAAGTCAATTTATCACCTAGATTAATTGTTGTTAAAATTTATATATTTGAGCTATGACTAATAATAAAAGTTTTTTAAAACGATCCGTCTTACTAACAGGTACATTAAACCTTCGTTCACTCCTTAAATCGTTATGATGATGTGCTTGCGGTGGAAGTAGGCCACTGAGCTTATGATTCGGTTATTAACAATATCTTCAAAAAGATGAATTGATAGTTGGGCTCGTCTGTCGAAGAGAGTGGAAATGCCGGCGTCTTTTAGCGCGTCAGCATATTTCAAGTCTGGGAGAATGATACGCAAAGCGCGCCTTTGGATACTCTCAAGCTCGTTTAACAGATAATTATGGAGACTCCGATTAAACAACTGGCACGAATATTCCAGGAGTGATCTGATGGCACTACAGTAAAAAGTGATAAGATCTTTTGGACAGATCCCGGCTCTTTTTGATTGTTTCAAAAGATACAGTCGTTTTCCGGCTTTTACGGTGACAATACCAATATGGTCGTTCCACTTAAAATC